ATGTTTTGCTGGCTATGGATTGCCAATACTTAGTTGTGAATTTTAGTATCTCTGTTCATCAGCGATATTGCCCTGTAATTTTCTTTGTTGTGTATTTACCTGGTTTTGGAATTAGGATGATAGTGGCCTCATAAAGAGTTTGGGAGTCTTCCCTCTTCTTGAATTTTTTGAAATAGTTTGAGAAAGATAGGAGTTAGTTTTTCTTTGAATGCTTGGTAAAATCCACCTATGAAACCATCAGGTCATTGGATTTGGTGGGTCAAGAGTCTTTTGATTACTGCTTCAAACTCACTAGTTGTTATCAATCTATTGAGGCTTTCTACTTCTTATTGATTCAGTTTTATAAGATTGTATGTTTCTATAAATTCTTATATTTTTCCCAGGTTATCCAATTTCTTGGCATACAGTTGTTCATAGTAATTTCTTAAACTCCTTTGTATTTCTGTGGTATTGGTTGTAACTTGTCCTTTCATTTCTGATTTTATTTATTTGGTCCTCTCTCTTTTTCTCTTGATGAGTCTGGTTAAAGGACTGTCAATTTTTGTTTATCTTTTCAAAATACCAGGTCCTGGATTCATTGATCCCTTCAATTGTTATTTTAGTCTCTATGTCATTTAATTCTGTTCTGATGTTGATTATTTCCTTCCTTTTACTCAATCTGGACTTTGTTGTTGTTCCTCTAGTTTTTGTAGATGTAGGGTCAGATTGTTTATTTGAGATTTTTCTATCTTCTTTAGGTTGGCCTGTATTGCTATGAACTTCCCTCTCAGGACTGCCTTTGCTGTGTCCCATAGGGTTTTGGTTGTTGTGTATTCATTTTCATTTGTATTCAGATACTTTTTGATGTCTTCCTTGATCTCATTGTTAACCCATTAATTATTTATAACATGTTATTTAGTCTCCATGTATTTGAATGTTTTTGAGTTTTTTCCTTGATGTTGGTTTCTAGTTTCAATTCATCTGAGCACATACTTGATATGATTTAAATTTTCTTGGACTTGTTGAGGTTTGTTTTGTGTCTTACCATGTTGTCTATCTTTGAAAGTCTTCTATTTGCATTTGAAAAGAATGTATATTTTGCTTCCTGGGGTGAAAAGTTTTATATATATAGATATAGATATAGATATAGATATAGATATAGATATAGATATATATCTATATATATATACACGCACACACACGTGTATGTGTATGTGTGTGTGTGTGTGTGTATGTGTGTGTGTGTCAATTAAGTCCTTTTGATCTAGAGTGTTGTTCAGAGCCACAATATCTTTTTAGATTCTTTGTTTGGAAGATCTATCTATTGTTAGTTGAGGGACATTAAAATCTCCTATAATGTCTCTGTTCTCATCAATATCTTTCTTGAAGACCTCAAAGATTTTATTTTTTATTTAGGTACTCCTATGTTGGGTGCATGTATATTTACAAGGGTTGGACAACTCCCTTAAGTATTATGTAGTGACCTTCTTTGTCTCTTTTTATGATTTTTGCTTTGAAATCTATTTTGTCTAATATAAGTATTGCTACTCCAGCTTTCCTTTTGTGTCTTTTGCTTGAAATACTTTCTTTCATGCCTTCACTTTCAGTCTGTGTAGATCTTTTGTTCTGAAGTGAGTCTCTTGTAGACAGATATATGTGGGTTATGTTTTCTTATATATTAAGCTACCCTAGGTCTTTTGAATGGAGTGTTTAATCCATTTACATTTAAGGTTATTTTGATAGGTACTTATTTGTTACCATACCTGTGTTTCTCTCCCTCTCTCCCTTCTTTCATCTTTCCCTATTTCTTCTCCTTTTTATAGTAGTCCCTTTAGCATCTCTTGCAGTGCAGACTTGGTGGAGATGTATTCTTTTAGCTTTTTTTTTGTCTAGGAAGCCCTTTATTTCACCTTCCATTTTAAATTAGAGCCTTGTTGGATAGAATGGTCTTGGTAGTAAGTCCTCTCTTTTCATTAGTTGGAATATTTCATGCCAGTCCCTTGTGGCTTGCAGTGTTTCTGTTGAGAGATCAGTTGATAGCCTTATCCAAGCTCCTTTGTATGTTACCTCCTGTTTCTCCCTTGCTGCCTTTAAGATTTTTTTCGTTGTCTTTAAAATTTGCCATTTTAATAGAGATGTGTCTTGGAGTGGGCTTCTTTGCATTCATCTTGATTGGGACCCTCTGTGTTTCCTGAACTTGTATGACTTTTTCCCTCACCAAGTTAGGGAAATTTTCTGCCATTATTTTTTCAAACAAGTTTTCTATTCTTTGTTCCTTTTTATCTCCTTCTGATATTCCTATGATGTAAATGTTGTTACATTTCATGTTGTCCTGAAGATCCCTTAAACTATCCTCACTCTTTTTGAGGGTTTTTTTTTTTCATTTTGTTGCTCTGACTGGGTATTTCTACCTTATCTTCCAGCTCACTGATTGAGTCTTCTGCTTCATCTAGCCTGATTTCAATTCCTTCTAGTGTATTTTTCATTTCAGATATTGTATTCTCCATTTCTTCCTGGTTCTTATTCATAGATTCTATGTTCTTTTCCATGCTGATATACTTCCCACTAAGTTTCATGTAACTCCCATAAAGTTCCTTGAGCATCCTTGTAACCATTATTTTGAATTGTATGTCTGATAGATTGCTTGCCCCATTTCATTTAGCTCTTTTTCTGGGGAACCCCCCTTTCCATTCAATTGTGGATTATTTCTTTGGCTCCCCATTTTAGGTGACTTGTTTTGTTTGTTTCTGCATCTCAGTTTGCTCTACTTTGCCTGCCTGTCTTCATGGGGTGGACTTCTGTGGTAGGAGTTCTGTGGCACTCAATGATCGGTATGCTCTAGGGGTGACCTTTATTCAGTTTATGTGGACTCTCTTGTACTTGGGCTTTGATTATTGATGGCTCATTCACTGTTGGTTCTCCCCTCTAGCTGGCTTACTGGGAGTCATAACACTCCCCCATGTCTTATATGCTGTTATACAGGTATTGATTAACAAAACGATACTATACAGAAAACCAAACCCATGCCAGCAAAAATATCCCCCTACCACATCAGCAATATCAACAGCAATTGAGCAAATATTAATAAAGTGGTGAGAGATTTAAAATATTATAAGATAGGAAAAGGGGAATATGAGATGACTAAAGAAGAGAAAAATGATTTTGAGTGGGAAGAAGGAGAAATAGTAAGAGTAGAGAATAGAAACAAGGCTAAGAAAAAGAGAAAATAAAATTTAAAAAGTAATTAAATCAGGGAAGGACAATGGCAAAATGGAGTAAGAAAAGGGAAGAGTATAATATGAGGTTTGAAATGAAATTAAAAAATAGTGAACCAAAAGGAACAACGTTGTAGAAAACCAAAACAGGATCAATAACAATGAAGGCTGAGCAAAGATTTATAAAGGTGGAAGGAGAATAAGAATATTACACAAAAGAGAAAAGATAATATGTCTACACTAAGGGAAAATGGTTTTGAGAGGATGGAGGAGAAATACTGAGAATAAGGAATAGAATCCAGACTAAGAAAGGGAAAAAATAAAAGTTCAAAGTCAAATAAGTATAGGTAGGAGGAAGGCAAAATGCAGTGAGAGGGGAAAGTAACCTATGAGATTTGAAATTTAAAAAAAATAAGAAAATAGTGAACAAATAGGAATACAGTTGAAGAAGAACAGCAATAACCATAATACCCATGCCAAACAAGCCACAATTTGTAAAGGTGGAAAGAAAATAAGAATAGTATAAGAAGGCAAAAAAGCTGAGTAAAGGAAGGAAGAATGATTGTGAGAGGAAAGAGGGAGGAGAAATAGTAAGAGTAAGGAATGGAAATGAGTAGTGTGGAGGAAAATAAGGTTTACAATGACAATAAGAAAGGGCAGGAGGAAGGCAAGATGGAGAAAGCCAAAGGAAGGGTACAATGTGAGATTTGAAATAAAAATAAAATATAATATAAAAATATAAATAAAAAAATAAGAAGTAAAAGACAAAGAATAGTGAACTAGTTAGAATACACTTGATGCAAAAGAAAAAGTCTTAAAAGGCTATGCAAAAGAAAAAAATAAGAAATTCTGAAGAGGAACGAGGTGGAATTCATCTCAGTAGAGTTTGCTGTTTGCCTTCTGTCTTCTCTCTCTGGCTCCGCCTCTGGTTTCTTATCAGAACAAGGTCCCAGGATGGGTCATCCAACTTCTGGTAGCACCACCTGTGTCATCTTCACCTGCCTCTAGAGGGAGCCTCTGTTGTGATTGGGAGAGTGGTACCCCTGGCTCTGTGTATACCCTGAAAGTCCCCAACTTTGTATATGCAAGTCACTCCCAGCCCAGGTCTGGTGGTTCTCTGCCCTGGGAGGGGACGGAGCCACAGAGCTGTGATCTCTGACCCTGGTCTCTGCAGCTCCAGGTGCCACACCTGGGGTACTACCCCTTCAACCAATAAAAGCTCCTAACCACCCATTGTGAAGCACCTTCTGTACTCCTTGGCTTCCAAAATTCATATCAGCTAAGATTCCATTGAATTATCAGTTTATTTTTCAGAAGATCAGCCAAGTATCCAAGCTGGGGACAAGAGCAAGTGGACTCAGCTCTTACCAACTTGGCCACCATCTTCTCTCCTCAATACATACTTATTTACTTACCAACAAATATTTTTCTTCTCTTTTCTTTATCTTCAATGTCATCTCTTCCATTGAGAACCTTACCTGACACTTCAACTCCTCATTAATCCCATTGCCTTCTATATTTTTGTAGCAATTTTAATTTACTGACTTAATTTATGACTTATTTATGACCTGCCTTCATTCAGATATATTGGTATTGCTTTCATCATGAGAGCAAAGACCATGCATTTTAATTATCTGTTTTTTGTCACCCTCAACATAGTGATGAACACAGCAATTTTTACTACCTAATTGACATATCTACTTAGCTTGATCCGGTGACACTTGATGGTATCACCACACAGTTGCATGTATTCTATTAGCCTGTCTTATTAATGTATTTTCCTCTTTTCTCTCTTCTTACCCACAGCATGTGCATTCCGGTACAATGGACTCTCCTTCGTCTACCTCATCTACCTCTTACTCATCCCTCTGTTCTCAGAGCCAACAAGAGCAACGATGCAAGGTAAAAGACAGTTACCATTCTGTGCCACAGTCTGAATGCATTTGCTGAGTTCCCTGGGCTTGTCTTCATCTGATGGGATAGATGCTGTCTGTGCAGCAAGCTGATGCATTGGGGACTGGGTGTCAAATATGTGAATAGTTGCATTAAGCAGAGTGGTGTGGAACATGTCAGTGATAAATGTTATTTACACAGCTAATATGCCACGTGAGTTCCATATTAGCTCTAGATAAGTAGGCTTGCAATACCTCTGGAATGTTTTTGCCACTTAAGACAAACTCAATGTATTTTCAGTGAAATAAGGCAGATGATATGACAAGATTGGCACATGATTTGCATAGTCTGTTGCTGGGGATAATGTGGTGGCATGTATAAAATGGGCAGTCTTACCTTCTTAAGCCACCTAGTAGAGCTGAGTAGGAAACCAGGTCTTAGTTGTGACTTGTTCATATATCAAATGAGATCTCTTACGCATACCTCTTATTAAGTATTGACAGTAAGTAATTTGAGTCTGAGGGATAGTTTCTCAAGCAAATCACTACAAAACTTGATAACCCTTTCACATTGTTATACAAGAACCTGAAGTTATAGAAGAGTGATCATGTCTTCTTGGGCTCTGATTAGGAAGCATGGTCTGGTTTATAAATTTATATATTTGAAATTCCTTCATAAGTACTGAAATTAAGCCACATTGAGTTAATTTAATAAATTGTTTTTCTAAACAGTGCAATTATAAGAAATATGGACTGTGTCAAATGCCTTAGGTGAGTGTGATGACTATGTTTACATAGAGGAAAAGGAAATTGTTTGGCCCATCATATGGTGTGGTAGGTGAATGGCTGTTGGTAAAAGCTGCCAGTTCATAGTGATGCCTCTTCAGGAAAAGAAGTTAAGACTTAGATGTCCAGAGTAGCAGATAATGACTCTATCTTTTCCATTCCTTCCCTTAACTATTACATTTATAGTGCATATTGTCATCATTCATCTTAATAGTTATGACTGCGGATGCTATGTTGATTTTTCTACCTCAGGAAGAATCTAAGCAATAACTCTTCTAAGTCACTTAAATCCTTAATACATAAAGTTAAGGAGGGTTAGAGAAATGTGAGTTTATACAAATCCTCATTCAAACCAAAAATACATTGTTTATGTGACCCCCACTCACCTTAGCCTCTTTCCTAGAGTTCAATATAAACAAAGACATTTAAACAGAATAGCTTCTGACCTCAGAACCAAGATTAAACATTCAGCCAACTCCTAATTTGTGGCTTGTAACTCATGTTTCAAAGAAAGGAGATTTCAGACACATTCAGAATAAAGTGATTTAAAAACAAGTACCTGTGTATATTCAAATATATTATCTATTGCTTTTATATCAAGGTGTCCCTTATTTTATCTGGAATCAGGTAACTGGGATTTCCCCCTTTACTCTTATATGACAATGCTTGCTTTTCCTTCTTCCCAGATAACCAGCCTTTCCTCAGTAAGGTTGCCTTAGTCTCTGTAGGAGTGGGATGTATACCTGTGTCATAAGTGCATGACTCTGGTCCCATTCTTTATGCCCAAGTCCATCAGAAACTGACACTAACACTGAGCTCATAGTTGAAATGTAAAGTCATATGCAAAAAAGAAATTCCTCTCTGTGTCAAGAAATTTTCTGAATTAACAAACTGTTATGAGGTCAGTGCACAAGCAAAACATAGTAAGTACACAAATGTCTGCTTGTGCTCCTCTTAACAGGAGAGGAAGCAAAAACTGGGCTTGAAAGGGAAACCTGGGCATCTTTTCAGTTACTATCTGGAAGTAGTGTTGTAATTATTTACTTTCCTTTTTATTGCATTTTAATGCCAAGAAGCATGACTAATATTCAACACAGCCTCAGTTATTTGTTTGTTTATGGAAATGCATAATGACTCTAGGAAAGGCTGTCCCACCTATTTTTTTCTGAACATGTAGGAAGCACAAGCCAGGTGTTTCTGAGCCTGTGTTTTGAAATATCCCATAATGGGCGTTTCTGGCAGTGTATGGTCAAGACCCACCTTTAAAGTGTATGTGGAGCAGATGTACACAATGACAGAATTGGAGGAGTGACTGCAGTGTGGCTTCTCAGGAAGATGCAGGTTTAATCACACTAAGACTTTCCAATTCGTGTTCACACACATTTCTCATGAATTGATAAGAAAGCACATCGGCAAACTGAAAGAACTATTAGTAAACCTTGTACCACCTGCTCACAGGCTGTCTCTGCCTTAAAACAGCAAGCAAATTTGAATTGCCTTCAAGCTGCTCCAGGCCTCTGTGCACATCCCCAAGACCATGTACTAATGCAGACTCTCCTTGAACTGGATGGGTGAAGCACATATATGGAACCTAACCAACAATACAAAGATGCAAGGAAAATAAGACCAGCAACACTGAAAGAAAAAGAAACCAACAGAGACAAGAGGGAAGGAGGGAGTGGGGGTGGGGGAAAAGGAAGGGAAGGGGAAAGTCAAGGAACATATAGCAAGGACTTATGGACAAAACCAAAGGGGAAGAGTTGAGGGAGGGAGGGAGGGGGCAAGGGAAGGTGGTGGGGGGAAGGCAGAGACAAATGTATTTGAAAAAATAAATTAATTAATTTAGAAAAAGAAGAAAGTTACTCCATGACCCTCTGCCCTCCATTTGATCTGTGGGAATTTATTTTCCTGTCTTGTTACTTTTCCTGAAGTATATCCATAGAGGGGCCCAGTAGGTGGAGAAATTCAGTGTTGGAACTGATAGGGTGGATCCTTGGTATAGTTCTTTAGGTGGCCTAAGTGTGAAAACTCATTTTCTCCACGGTGGTTGTTTTGGACAAGGATGTTCACATTCTCTGATTTCAGGGCTGTCAGGAGGACATAGATCATATGGGTATGACTGAGTCTTTCCCCATGCTTGAGATTAAACACGGATTTGCTGTACAGCTGGAATCGCATGTGGAAGATGGAGGAAGATCAGGAGCAGTTAGTTCTATGTTGAATTGTTATCAAGTTTACAAAAAGAATTTGAGTGAAGATAATTTCTTGGGAGAAAAGGAGAAAATGTAATAGAGGGAATTGGTCACTAGAGGTTAAGAAAGAGCTAAGAAGTCAAAAAGAATGTTGAGGCAACTTAGGTAGCAAAGCAGGAAGGTTGAGAAGGAACAAAAGGTATTGTGAGCAAAACTCAGAAACAATGGCCATCCACGAATTGCTAGAACAATAGGAGAAAGTTAGGAAATAGATCTCTGCAGATAGACATTGACTGGTAATCAGCTATTAGTTATGTAAACCAAATGAGACAGTTTCATAATTGTCAATAAATGGCTCATCACTTCCAAATGTCAGGAGGTAGATGGCTGACATGATAATATTTCCCTGTAGTCTTCATGGGGAAAAATATCCCTAGTTTCTCAAGGGTGTGATTTATTGACTGTCCCATTCAGACAGATTTCATCTGGAGCTTCTTCCTTCTTTCAGAGTTTCTTCTAAAATGCTACGTGCAGCAGGTGCTGCGGTATAAATTCAGAATCCCCTTCCACAGCCGAAGCACCATCCCCTACCTGTCTGGAACTGCTCACAGCAGAATCCCTCCCCAGGAGTTGGCGATGGCTAAAGGAGGCTTGTGAGCACATACACACACAGGAAGAAGGCTATACCAGTGATTATTCAACATGAGTGCAAAGGCCTCCAGTCTGGGCCTTTGCAGGGTGATGCTAGCACCAGAGCCCCGCATCAGCTGAGGCCCCATTGTGAGATCATTGCAGTTTAATCTCTTCCTCCATGCAGTCCTACTGTCTTTACTCTGTGAAAGATATTACTGCCAAGAGCACTGCCCAATAAACCACCTTTCAGGTGAATCCACCTGAACCCACCTCAGTGTCTGTTTCTGGGAACCAGGCCTAGACTGGTCCTTAGAGACAGGACTGCTGCCTCAGACACCTGGTCAGATTGCGGAACACATATTGGATGGAAGGCTAGGACTCAGGGGGCAGAGGTTTGGAGCATGGGAGATGAGACAGTGATCCAGAAAGAGCCTCAACATGCCCATGCGGTGGTATGAAACCCTGCCAAGGACTGCAGCCAAGGCCGGTGTGCTGTGAGTCCTCGCCTGAAACTATCTGATCCCAATGTCACTTCTTTTGATCAAGTTTTCTTTCCTTACAGATGCGAGGACTAGACTTTGTGGGATCACATGAGCAGATATGAATTTTAAATATAAAATTATTACAAGTAGTTATTATTAGCTGTAGAATTAATATCGTTTTGAACTGGCATGTGTATACCTCTGCAGTCCCCTGAATGTTGAAGGCTTTTCCCAGATTTCAAATGGGTGGCTTCTCCTCTGAATTCAGGTTTCTCTCAAGTATGACCTCCTTAGAGGCAACCTCCCTAACTAAAACTGTCCTACCCCTATTCCCACCTTATTTTTTATACTATGAACCAGTTTTATTTTTTCAGAATTTGTATCTACCTGAAATGATCTCTGTAATCAATCCATAGCAAGAGCTGGACTTGGGGGCCCCAGGCTTGCAGCTGTCCAATTTCTCCCAGGATTGTTCTTGCATACCTCTTTTGTGGGACAGAGCCTCCACTGCCGGGTGAAATTCTGAGCAGTCCATAGAGCTTCTCAGCTCTTAGATAACAAAATTTCTTAAGGTCACTTTAGTGCCCCAGTCAGTCCAAGATGATTATCATTTCAGATAATATCTCCAGGCCAGTGTAAAACTTAAAATTATAGAACATTTTTAAAAACTAAAGCTTCTTCCCTCTATCAATGTATGCTTGCTGCCTATGGAAGCCTGGAAAGGGAATGTGGGCCCTGGAGGTCCTTTCTGGAATGCTCCATATTTGATTCTGCCCCTCCCTGCCTTCCCTGCTCCTGCCTTGGGTTGGGCTGAATCTTGATAGATGTGTACTCACCATAGGTCCCAGGCAGGTGGAGTACTCTCCACCCACTGGTTATGACTCCCTTCAATTTCTTTGGTTCAATGCTGACCACCT